GACCCCCCCCCCGGTGGACCCCGCCCCCGGCTAACCCTGCCCCCTGCTGACCTGTGTGACGCTATCCCTCATTGTCGGTGAGCGCTGTTTGCGGGTGGTAGTGGTGGCCATGGTGGTGGTGGTCTCCATAATGGTGGTGGACATGTCGGCCAGGGGGGTTGCGGAGGTGGTCTCCGTGGTCAGGACGGACGGCACGTCCCCCACCAGTCTCAGGTTCCCCTCGGACTGCACATTGGGGTCGCCCTCGGCCGCCAGCTTCAGAACCTGCAGGCCGTTATAGTAGAGCCCCGAGATCTGGCCCTGGAACGGCCGACCTCGGTCTTTGCCCCCGATCTTGATCGACGCCTGGCTGTTGAAGATGGTCAACTGTCTCCCTGCGAGAAGAAATAGTGAGAACATAGGAGACGGGAAACAGCGTGAGAGAGAGCAGGTGTGATGGGTACATCGATCTACAGTCGGCGGTTTACAAAAGGGGCAATTTTCATCTTTAAGAACAGTTCCTGGCAACACTAAAGGAGTTTGGGCCTTGCGAAAAAATAAAAAATAAAATGAGCCATTATAATTGCAGCCAGGATCTTGTATTTGGAGGGAATTATTTGCTTTTATGGGAAATAGTTTCACTTTTTCACTTTCCGAAGTTCACAGATTGCATCTTGCTATCTTTGAAGGACCAAATGAACGAGCGGGATGCTGCGGAATAAGAGCGTGTTTGGCAGCGGAAAGGAGAAACTTCCAAATCTCAACAATTGTGATTTACGGGTAATATGGCTCTGGGAAATGCGACGCCCAGAGCGCTGCTGTCATCTCCATTGGCCCACTGTCATTTGCGAGGCCCAGAGCTAATGTGTTGCCAGGATCTATAGCATTTTGCTCTCCCTCTGCTAACGTCTGTCCTTCCCTCTCTGGTGAGCCTTCCGGTTAAAGGCTATTACAGCTAAATTGAGCCACTTATGACAATTCACCATGATGGCTCTTTAATGTGTTTCTTAAGGAGCGAGGAGGCAGCTTGCGTGCAGTCTGGTATAATGTCGGATGCTCTTCAGAGGGACGAGCTTACGGCCACGCCGGGCGCCGCGGCATCATGGCGGGAATTCGCCTGCTGTTACCAAATGCCGGACAAGACTGAATCGACACTGACGATTGCTGTAGATCTTGTTGCCTCTTCAAATACGATCAGTCACTGCTATAAGGCTGTCAAATTAAGCTTCATTAAGATGAAATCACTCTCAACCGAGGTTTGTGTCGGATGAGAACGAACAGCCCGTCCTACATCCTTTCGTCTCAGCCGAGGACTTCGTAAATTGGGCCGATTATTTGGTTAATCAGGAGCTGCAAGCCCCCCCTTGCCGTTCCACGTCTCCTGCTATATTGGGAAAATGCATAGCTGGGGAAAAAGTGCCCAATTACACTAATCATTACTTTCATTTAGGGCTGAGAGGGATAATTAGACGCCCAGCTGGAATGAGGACTTAAAAACATTCGCCAGCCCTCGTGATGGGGGGGTGGGAGGGTGGGGCGTTCGGAGCCACTTCCTCGTGTGTCGCACGTGGCCTTGGCACAAGTGCCGTGACAGTTTTGAACCTTTGGATCCAGAGTGGGACTGAGCACTGGAGAGGAAGCAGAGGTACTGGGCAGACATTAGCAGGGAGATAAAGGTCACTGCGGTTTCTGTGTGTACACCCCCACAGAGAGAGAGAGAGACAGACAGACAGACAGACAGACACACACCCCCACAGAGAGAGAGAGAGAGACAGACACACACCCCCACAGAGAGAGAGAGACAGACAGACACACACCCCCACAGAGAGAGAGAGAGAGAGACAGACACACACACACACAGAGAGAGAGAGACAGACAGACACACACCCCCACAGAGAGAGAGAGAGAGACAGACACACACACATACAT